ATGAGGGTAATGGATGACTCAAAATAACACATTATTTTTAAATTTGGTGCTGTGTAGATGCACCAAATTTCGAAATAAGCTATTTTGAAATATAATTGAAATAACATACACCATTTGCACACAGCAAATTGTCTATTTTAATTTAAGTTTAGGGTGTGGTGTAAACACACCCTAAATAAATAATTTTCCTAATTGTTGCAATAATCACCTTGAAAACATTTTCAATACAAATGTCTATCCAAGTACACTTGTGAGAAATTGCGCAGTTGGAAAAAGGAAAAAGAAGTTGGGGTTCTACACTGCAGGGCGTAACTCAAAATAAGTTACACAAATTGCGCTACATCAATGGCATAGCTTATTTTGAAATAACTCATTTTGAAATAGGGAGCATCTACATAGCACTTACTTCAAAATAGAGCACACTTCCTCCGACTTCCCTTGTTCCTCATACAATGAGGGTTACAGGAGTCGGAGTAAGAAGTCTCCAGCTTGACAGTATTTCAGAATAACTGCCTGCTGTGTAGACAAGGACTAAGTTAATTTGGAATAGTGCTAGGCATTTTAAAACAGTGTTGTGGCATAGACGTACCCTTTGAAAACTTTGGAAAATGGTGCAAAATTGATGTTTGCGTTTCTTAGCTCTGTAATTAAATGTATCCCTTTTAGATTTGACTTATGTCATGTTTTGTATCCACCTTGGTGTCCGAGTTAGGGGTGGGTGATTGGAGGGTGGGTCGAGAGCCGTTGTGATTGTCATAAGAATTCTGGGCTATCGAAGGATGCTGTCTTGGGAAGGAAACATCAGATGGAGATGGTTACCATAGACAACAGCATGACAATGACCATGGGTGAAGGAACAGGCTTAAAAATGAGGTGGGATTCGTCAGTGGAGCAAACAGATTGGACCAGTGGGGGGTTGAAAAATTATTGCCATCAGCCAAGAAGGGGCCAACAAGAAACTGCCACTGGACAGAGTCCTTTTTATCTCGATTTCACAGAGACCTGGTTTGAATTCACCCCTCATGAGTCTGGTTTTCCCGGCCTGGGGGCATTTGTGAGCACCAAGTTCTTGGGAAGTGAATTCATGGATGGGCATTTGAAAGTAGAGAGGAAGACGAAAGACATCTGCTACCTGCAAGGTAAGCACGGCAACCCCTCATCGTTAGCCATTAGGTCTTCTGCTGCAGGCCCTCTGTGATATACCACACATCATAGACCTGTTTGGAAAGTTTCCAGTCGACCGACCCTGTTGGTCTGTTGCCGTCACAAAGTCTCTTACCTGCTGCTTCTATCTATCCAGATTTTCTCCCTTCCTCCACTCAACCTCTCTTCTATACACTCAGTCCTATTTCACTTCCCTCAGGATATCGACTCATATGTCCCTCTGCTCCACCTTCTTCCACTAGTCCATCCTTTCCATGACCCACTTAGCTCCTCCTGAGGCAGGGTTAACCTTTAGATAATGTCCCATCCCCAGTTCTCAGTAGGCTTTGCAAAAATTCATGCGCATCAACATGCCCATTTTACAGAGCAGGCAACTGAGTCACAAAGAAGGGAAGTGAATTCTGCGGGGTCGTGAAAGCTGGAAATGGGAAGTGAAGGAATAAGTCAGGTGACCTCAAGTCTAAGCAACTGCACTAGAGTTGGGATGTTCTAAGGAGCCATGGGACCTTATGGAGTTCACCTTACATCAAATTCAAGTGTGATGGGGACACCTACTTCCTATGGTCTCCTTTGAAAATCCCAGCCAGGAACGTTCATATTGTTCTGAGTTAGTATCCCATGTTTGCGCTTCTTAGTCTTTTTTTTTTAAATTTACTAGGAGATTTACCCAGCATTGCCCAGGTTGGCAATGTCCCCATAAATTGGGGAGGTGGGTAATTCAGTCCTCTCACCCACCTTAAAAGGCATTTGGGGAGATAGGAGAGTTGGGCAGGGCTGGAGGTGAGGGGCTCAGGATGCAGGCTGTCTGGGGGAGAGAGAACAACCCCAGCCCTCTCTCACTGCAACAGCTTGCGACCAGGTGAGAAATGCCTCTCCATGGCTGCTGCAGCTGCAGCAGGTATGTCCATGAAAGGGGGGAGGGCAGCTGGAGACAGACAGACAGACAGACTCTTTCTAATGTATAGTAGATAGTTCTTCCCTTCTCCATCATTGCCCCCTGCTGTCCCAATGGGGTTAGAGCTGCACCAGTCCCCATTTCTGGCCCCCTGCTGCCTCCTGTGGGTGACACCTGGATATGGGCGCCCCGTAGCCAAGAAGGCTAATGGCATATTAGGGTGCATTAGGAAGAGCATTGCCAGCAGATCTAGAGAAGTGATTATTCCCCTTTATTCAGCTCTGATGAGGCCACATCTGGAGTATTGTGTCCAGTTCTGGGCCCCTCACTACAGAAAGGATGTGGACGCATTGGAGAGGGTCCAGCGGAGGGCAACAAACACGATAAGGAGTCTGGAGCACGTGACCTATTAGAAGAGGCTGAGGGAGTTGGGCTTGTTTAGTCTGCAGCAGAGAAGAGTGAGGGGGGATTGGGTAGCATCCTTCAACTCCCTGAAGGGGGTTCCAAAGAGGATGGAGAGAGGCTGTTCTCAGTGGTGGCAAATGACAGAACAAGGAGCAATGGGCTCAAGTTGCAGTGGGGAGGTCTAGGTTGGATATTAGGAAAAACTATTTCCCTAGAAGGGTGGGGAAGCACTGGAATGGGTTCCCTAGGGAGAGGGTGGAATCTCCATCCCTAGAGGTGTTTTAAGTCCCAGATTGCCTCGGCTTGACAAACCCTTGGCTGGGATGATTGAGTTGGGCTTGGTCCTGCTTTGGGCAGGGGGCTGGACCTGATGACCTCCTGAGGTCTCGTCTAGCTCTAGGTTTCTAGGAGTCTAAAGGGAAAGGCGCCTTTATGTGCTATGCTATAAGTAAAGTCTTTTCCTTCTCATTTTCAGGTTTATGGGGAAGCATCTTTGGATACATGAAGGAGAATGTGAAATTTCTAATAGGTACTGAAATATCTGTGTGTTGAAGGGTGGGCCAGATCATCTATTGAATTGGAAGAGGCCCCCAATAGAAGAACTAACACACTATTCTGTAGCAATTATTCCATAGGGATCCTGTGATGCATCAGATAGTCACTGTCCTAGTGATAACGTAAGGTAGTACCTGGGGATCTGCCAGTTGTGGATGGATTAGATTTTCAAGGCTGCCAAAAACAGACGGAGCACCCAAATCTCATTTATTTTTTGACTTTCAAAATTCCCAGTCATCCAAATCATTCCCAAATTAGTGTAGGTAAGGCTGAGAGTTTCAACTCTGTCCTGAGGGTTTGATCCTCACTTCCATGAACATTAGAAAGAGTTGCGTATAATCTAATATCACACTTCAGGGCTTGGCTAGTCACCTTGAGGAACAAGGAAGGAATTTCCTCCCCTGCTTGTAATTTAACTCAAATTGCCTTTCTTTGCAATTTAGAGGTGGGACGCCAGATGAAGTGGGCTGATGCTAGGAGGTGGTACTGAGAATCCTCCTTCTAGGTGTCTTGTTAGTAAGCTGTGTACAAGTTCCAGCTGATCACCGGATAAGGGGTCAGGAAGGAATTTTCCTTCAGGTCACAAAGGCAGGAACCAGCATGTTTTCCCCCCCCCTCCCCGCCCCCCGTTTCTCAGCACACATTGAAGTTGTATTGCCAGGTCTCACCTCATCATCTGATCATTCGGTGTCATTGGCGGGAACTTGGTCACAGGTGTACTTCATTCTCTCAGATTCTCTGCAACAGCTCAATCTATAGACAACTGTATTCGTTTCACTGAGGTCACTGGGGAAGGCCTGGGGCATCTGTGAGAAATTCAGGGCTGGTCTCCCCCATACGCAGAATACATAGCAGAGTGGGGCACCTGGAAATTTCGGGCCCACTGGGTCTTAATGTCTAGACTTACCGGGAGATCAGCCCCGTGGGGATCAATTGCCTGGATGTTGATTTAGAGTGTCTAGTAAAGACCTGCTAAATCAACCACTGATTGTGCTCCCCAAACTCTGGTACTCTACCGCTGCGGTAACTCGACTCCAGCGATGCTAGTCACGTGATGAAATGGGTTAACTCTGGAGATGGTGGAATCTCCATCCCTAAAGTTTTTACGTTCCAGCTTGACAAAGTCCTGGATGGGATAATTGAGTTGGGGTTGTTCTTGCTTTGGGCAGGGGGCTGGACTCGATGACTCGTGAGGTCTCTCCCTGCCCTATGATTCTATGATTCTATGATGAGTTTCTATGACCTTACTTTAATATTTGTTTTAAAAATATTTCATTAGCGTGCCGCTGAAGATTATAAAATCTAACCCCCTTTCCCCTCCCCAAAAAAATTGTCCCCTCCTGGCTGCCAATGAACACAGGGGCACTAATTTTATAGGACAATGTAAGGCCCCATAAATATTAGGGAGAAATTTAATAGTCTTCTGGTCTCAAACTCTATGAATCCGAGCAACTATGAAATTCATATCCGTTAGGTGGTTTTGCAATACTCAGTTTAGAAGAGTGTTTCTCAACCAGTAGTACAAATATGCTTAGGGGTACTCGAGAGAAGTCGGGGGGGGGAGGGGTACGTCAACACAATTGAAATTTGGAGAAAACTGAATTTTTGTTTTAAGTTTTACAGCACTTCATTATTTTTGTACTTTTTACGCCCAAAAATTTCATCCCTCACCCAGCCACAATTAAGTTGTTTAAGCAAATGTTTTGCAATAGTAGGAAAAAAAATTAGCGTGTCTGAAAACTTTGGGTACTTTAGGTATATTTTATAAAAAAAGGTTGAGAAACACTGGTTTAGAGGAAATCCCAAATTAGAACTTCATTCTCATTTCGCAAAGATTTAGCCTTTGGGGACATTCTGCCCCCACTTAATTTACATACATCAGGAGCAAATGCTCAGCAAACTGAGGAATTACCCCTCCTTCACACCAGTCTTCCTGACATCATTGTATGTCCCATTGTATGGGACATCTCAGGGAAATCCCAAACCAGATGGTTGAGTCCTGATGATTTTAAACGGAAATAAACATTCAAGATGTGTACAAAATCATCAGTTTTAAACGGAAATAAACATTCAAGATGTGTACTGGGTTTTTTGGAAACAATAATGATCAGACCTAAGCTCTAGATAATGACGAGATGGAAGGGTTGATTCTGCTTTCAGGTTAGTTTTATGCTGGTGAAATCACAGAGGGGCAAACTGCGTCTTCATCTGCAGTATTGTGAATCAGGAACGATTCCTGTGAAGTTAGTGGAATTATTTGAAAAGGAGGCAACCAAGAGTCCAGTAGCATCATAAAGATGAACACATTTATTTGGACACAAGTTTTCCTGGGCTGGAAGCCATCTCTTCAGTGGATTCCAAACCACAAAAACTTCTGCTCATATAAATTTGTTAGTTGTTGACAGCTTGACTACACTACGGAGAAAATCAACCCTCTGGAGGCCAATCTTCTAGTGTTCGAATTATTGGATCTAGTAAAGAACCACTAATTTGAACTGTGAGGGTTCCCCCATCTGCACCCATAATTCTGCTTGTTATGAGGAATAAGGGAAAACTATGGGAGTATTCGCTCCTGTCGACGTCCTGCTATGTGAATGGCCCGGAAACACTTTTTAAGATACGCCAATTCCCGGTGCATAATTAATGGAGCTGGAGTTGCATATCTTTAGTCAACTTTCCCCTTTGGTGTAGACCGGGGCCTAAAATGTGACAGGACTCCTTGTTGTGTTTGCTGAAACAGTCTAGAACCCTCTGAAATTCTAAATTTCACACATTTTAGCTCAACAGTTTTGCACTAGGAAATGCTGTTTTGTCATAATCAAGAAGTTTTGAGGGAATATGTCCATCCTGATATAATTTCTTATGGGAATTATTTTTAACTGCTGCAAAATCAAAATGGAGTATTTTATTTTATCTTTATCATTTCATTTTGTTTAAATTTGTTTTATTTATTTTACCTATCAAAAATATCGCCTTTTATTTTATATTGTTTATATTTCATATAATATTTTCTGTTACCTTATAATGTTTCAAAATTGTTTGGATAGGACATTTCACAGAAGTCTTTTAGATCATTCCAAAGAGAAATATCACACAATTTTCAGTTCTGCAAGTTATTTTGAAGTTTTGACTTTTAGAACCAATTTGAGACCGTACGATATTTCAGAATAATTCTGAGTTACAACAGTGCATATTCAATCAAAGTCAGTTCCCTGAACGTAGGTCTAAAAGAACGACCTTATGACTCAAGGTGTGAAATGACTTTAGTTGTGTGAAATGACTCAAAGCATATTTTTTGTTTTTCCTTGTTGAGAATTGATTTGGAACAAAATTCATAGAAGGCTGGGAGAAGAAAAGAAGAATACAATGGGTAAAACAGGTGAGTCACTGTATTTTGGGAACCAGAGGTCTGGTTTTCTTAAAACTTACAAGTCCTAAGAAGTTCAGAGTCATAGCTGAGTTAGCTTGTAACAGGAAAAACTTAAAAAACAACAAATAGTCTAGTAGCCCCTTAAAGATTAACAAAACATGTAGGGCTCATCTACACTGGCCCCTTTTCCAAAAGGGGCATGCTAATTTCACAGGTCGTAATAGGGAAATCCGCGGGGGATTTAAATATCCCCCGCGGCATTTAAATAAAAATGTCCGCCGCTTTTTTCCGGCTTTTAGAAAAGCCGGAAAAGAACGTCTACACAGGCCCCGATCCTCCGGAAAAAAGCCCTTTTCCGGAGGATCTCTTATTCGTACTTTGAAGTAGGAATAAGAGATCCTCCGGAAAAGGGCTTTTTTCAAGAGGATCGGGGCCAGTGTAGACGCTCTTTTCCGGCTTTTCTAAAAGCCAGAAAAAAGCGGCGGACATTTTTATTTAAATGCCGCGGGGGATATTTAAATCCCCCGCGGATTTCCCTATTACGACCTGTGAAATTAGCATGCCCCTTTCGGAAAAGGGGCCAGTGTAGATGTAGCCGTAGGGTGGGTCATGTGTCTAGACTACAGGGTTTTTTCGAATAAAGTGGCCTTTTTTTGAAAAAAAGGTCCCCTACATCCAGACTGCCACTGCCTTCTTTCAAAATTAAATCAAAGGAACGCGGCAGTTTTTTCGACCACGGTAAACCTCATTTTACGAGGAAGAACGCCTTTTTTCAAAAGTGCTCTTTCGAAAAAAGGCATTCTTGAATGCAAACAGGGCTTTTTCAAAAGAAAGCATCCAGACTACCTGGGTGCTCTCTTTCAAAATAGCGGCTCACTTTTTCGAAAGACGTGGTTGAATTCTAGACGTTGTCTTTCGAAAGAAGCTTGTAGTCTACATGTACCCTCAGGGGCTACTAGACTTTTTGTTGTTTTTTAAGTCCCAAGAGGCTACATTTAAACTACTGCCCCCTAGTGTAGATGCAGCATATACCAACAGAAAGCGTTTTTCAGACACTGTATGGACACCACTTCTCCCAACAAAGTCAATGGATACACAGTTCTGTCTTAATCACCTCTTCTATACTGAGTTGTGGGTGGTTTTTGTCACAGAGAAGTGTGGGGTTATTTTCCCACTCTTGACTTACTCATAAGTGCAATACAAATGTAGAATAAGACTGAGGGGAATCAATTTATTAATTACATATGTGACTATATGGCACTCATTCCCCCTTGTTTACAGATGTCAAAGTCTCTGTTTGACCCATGCTTGCCTAGAAAAAAATCACCCTGAAAGCTCATATGTGATCTTCTATACATGGGAAATTTTACCAGCCTTAGTTATATTAGAATAACCTTCATGTGGAAACTCTTGTTCTGGTAGGAGAGACACTTCCTTGCATTAGTGCAAACCACTACCAATGAGAGAGATGGTAACACAACCTCTTCCCAAAATAAGGCAGAAATTACTATCGGCATCACAGTCAAGAAGGAACCTTATGACCACCTAATCCAACCTCCCGTATAACTAAAGTCAGAGAACTGCCCTCAAAAAGTTCTTAATTTTTTTTTTTAAGAAAAAACCCCAAACCCCTCCAAAGCAATGGAAAAATTGCTAGCGATGGGAAATCCTCTATAATCTGAAGTAAGTTTTTTTCCAGTGGCTAGTTCCTCTCTCTGTCAAAAAATTGACACCTTGTTTCAAGTCTGAATTTGTCTAGCTTCTCCCTCCACCCATAAAAATGGCCATACTGGCTCAGACTAAAGGTCCATCTAGCCCAGTAGCCTGTCTGCCAACAGTGGCCAGCACCAGGTATCGCAGAGAGGGTGGACTGAAGACAATGATCAAGAGATTTGTCTCCTGCTATCCCTCTCCAGCCTCTGACAAACAGAGGCCAGAGACACCATTTCTATCCCCTGGCTAACAGCCTTTCATGGACCTAACCTCCACAAAATTATCTAGCTTCTCTTTAAATTACCACTCACTGGGTAATGTTATGCCTTTTGAAGTACCTCAATCAGGAGTGTATCCCAGATGAGTACCGTTCCTTTAGGTGTTATCCAGGAGGTCAGAATAGATTGTCACAAAGGGCACTTCATCAGAACATAAGAACGGCCATACCAGGTCAGACCAAAGGTCTATCTAGCCCAATGTCCTGTCTTCTGACAGTAGACAACGCCAGATGCCTCAGAGGAAGTGAACAGAAAAAGTGATCCTTCCCCTGTTGCCCATTTCCAGACAAACAGAGACTAGGGACACCATTTCTACTCATCCTGCCTAAGAATCATTGATGGACCTAACCTCCATGAATTTATCTAGTTACGTTAGGCTATGTCTACACAGCAGCATTATTTTAGAATAACTGAGGTTATTCTGAAATAACATACTCCGCATCTACACTACAATGAGTTATTTTGACATAATGTCAAAATAATGTTGAGCTGGAGGATTTCTTACTCCAACTCCTGTAACCTCATTGTATGAGGAGTAAGGGAAGTTGGGGGAAGAGGGCTCTATCTCAAAACAAAAACTGTAGAAACTTAAAAACTTTCTAAAGTTTTTCCAGTTACACATTAACACTGCTAGCCCTCTCACGCTTTTGATATAGACAACTTTTGTATAGACAGTGCCAAAAGTGGAAATAAAGCTATTCAGTTAGTATTTTTCAGGGTAAGTACCTTATTTCGAGTTTAGCCCTGCTGTGTAGCCATGCTTTTAAAGTCCTAGTCTTCACAACATCCTCTGGCAAGGAGTTCCACAGGTTGACTGTGCGCTCCTATATCTAGTTGTTTTTCTTAAGAAAGAAACACATCAGACAAATAAATAATGTACAAAACCTGACCAGATGTCCAAGTCCAATTAGCGCCTTTGAAAATCTTTACCTTAAATCATGTGGCTCTGAATTCCAAAAGAGAGCAGGGAAGTACTCAAATGCCATTGACATGCATGGGCACCTATATAAGCACATAAGAGTGGCCATACTGCGACAGAACAAAACTACATCTAGCCCAGTATCCTGTCTGCCGACACTGGCCAATGCCAGATACCCCAGAGGGAGGGAACACAACAGGGAATCATCAAGAGATCCCTTTCCTGTGACCCATTTCCAGACAAAAAGAGACTAGGGACATCTTTCCTATCCATCCTGGCTAATAGCCATTGATGGATCTAACCTCCATGAATCTATCTAGCTCTTTTTTGAACCCTGTTATAGTTCTAGCCTTCACAACATCCTCTGGCAAGGAGTTCCACAGGTTGACTGTGCGCTGAACACCTAACTTCCCTAATCATCATTGTAAATCTCATCCAACTTCTGCCAAAGAGTGGCCTGGTATTGCAAGTACGCAGTGATTCACTGAGTGTTGAATCCCTGCACCTGAGGGACTCTGGCCACTAGAAACATGACTCTTTCCTGGGGACTCACAGAATGGACAGCTGCCTGAGGGTCACATCATGGTCTCTTTCCTCCCAGGTACCCATTGCACGTGTTCCCGGTGTCAGGCCGTCCTCCTTGTCCTGGATCTTCACGTTCTCACCTCAGCAGGGAAAGACCATGAGGGAGTCTTTATGCAGCTGAAGGAAGTTCTGAAAGGCAAGTGGATCAGCTGGACTACATTTGCCTTAGGAAATCATGGTTCTTAGGTGGAAGAGGAAGAGTGAGGGGGGATTTGATAACAGCCTTATACCTGACAGGGGGGTTGCAAAGCGGATGGAGAGAGGCTGTTCTCAGTGGGGGCCGATGGCAGAACAAGGAGCAATGGGCTCAAGTTGCATTGGGGGAGATCTCGGTTAGATAGTAGGACAAACTATTTCCCAAGGAGGGTGGGGAAGCACTGGGATGGGTTCCCTAGGGATGTGGTGGAATCTCCATCCCTAGAAGTTTTGAAATCCCGGCTTGACCAAGCCCTGGCTGGGATGACTGAGTTGGGTTGGTCCTGCTTTGGGCAGGAGGTTGGACTCAATGACCTCTTGAGGGCTCTTCCTACCCATATCTTCTAAGAATTGCTACATGGTTGTTTCCATGACAACATCCCCGTATTTGGCAATATTTTCACCCATCCCCAGGCCTGTTCCAATACACAGAGGCTGAGGTTTCAGAAAAGGCCGAATGGAAATGGAACCCCAATCCTATAACCTTTCAATGGAAACTCAACCTTGAACCTGCCTTTGACTCCCTCAGAGCATCCACGTAGCCCTGAACTCCTCCATACCTTTTCCGTTGACTGCTGCAGCTCTAACCTCATTTCATCCCTCCTGTAAGCAGGCAGGAACAGCGAGGAGTCCTACCAGAAGTGCTGTGAAATGAGCAGGATGTGGGGTTTAAAGACGGTGGAAGAAAGAATAGCAGATTGTGCTGAACTCCTTGAAGCGGAGTTTGGAGAGGAGCGTTTTGTCTCGCTCGCCATGCAAGGCAAGGAAAACATTTTGCATCTTCTGGGAAATGATTAGTTAATGCATTTATTTTTTTCATATTTCTCAAAAAAATTGATTTGTTATTGATTTATTTGGGTTTTGGTCGGACGAAGAGGTATGGGCACCCTTGACAATTCTTTAAAATGTAGTAATCTGTTCAACACGCAACCTCTAATGGCTTTGTAATAATGAGCTATGGACAATGTCCCAGTTTTGGGCGATTGGATGCTAAACCTCAAAGACCCCTCAAAGGATGCTGTCAAATTCAGTAGGGTTCAGAAAATAGATACAAGAATTACAGGAGGCCTGGGGAAAAGTCAGGCCCTTCATAAGGGACTAAGGACATTTAATCGATTTAGCATAACAAAGAGACAGCAAAAGGAGACTTTAACCATCTCATAGAACTGGAAGGGAGCTTGAGAAGTCAAGTCCAGTCCTCTGCCCTCACAGCGAGACTAAGTACCATCCCTGACAGATTTGCCCCAGATCCCTAAATGACCCCCCTAGAAGACTGAACTCACAACCCCACATTTAGCAGACAAATGGTCAAACCACTGAGCTATCCCTCCCCGCTGGACTTGATCCGACTCCATGAGCATCTATCTGGGGAGGAGATTTCTCAAAGCAGATGGCTCTTTGATTTAGCAGATAACGGCACAGCCAAGTCCAATGGCAGGAAGCGGAAGCTAGACAAACTCAGGTTAGATGTGAAATGTTATCGAACGCAGAATTCACTGCTGGAAAATGTGGTGGATTCTCCATTCATTAGAGTCTTTAAATACAGATTGGAGGTTGCTTTTGAAGTGATCTGCTCTAGATGAATCAGAAATTATGAGACAGTAGCAGAAGTTATGGAGGGCATGTCTACACTATGAAATTATTTTGAAATAACTAAATTCGGCTTAACAACTCCCGATTTTGCAAAATCGAATTAGCGGGTGCATACTACGATGAAGCTTTGAAATTAGTCTGAGGCAGGCTCCATTAATGTGGATGTGCTACCTCAACTAAAAGCCCCAGGAAGTAATTAGGAGTAATTAGTAATTAGTTTGAATTACTCTGGGGAGTAGTTATTTTGGCATGTACACACGACCGCTATTTCCTATAACCTATAGGCTTAAATTGCAGAAAGGGAGGTTTAGGTTGGACAGTGGGAAAAACTTCTTACCTCTCAGGGTGGTTAAACACAGGAATAAGTTGCCTAGGGAGGTTGTGGAATCTCCACCACTGGAGATTTTTAAGAGCAGGTTGGACAAATGACTCTCAGGGATGATCTAGATCAGGAATTGCCAAACCGTAGCTCGCGAGCCTTCTTCGAAGGAAAAATTTCAGCTCCTGCACCCGCGGCTCGGCTGCTGACCCCTCAGCTGTTCTGCTTTCCCCTGCTCTGACCTTTTTTCCTTGTCTGGTCAGGGCACTGCTTAGGGCAGCATGGTTTTTTGGTTTTTTTTGCTCAACACCTTCTTTCCCTGGGCTCTTTGCACTGTGTCCACCTCTAACTTGGCTCTTTGTCTATAACGGGTTGGCCACCTCTGATCTAGATGGGGCTCAGTCCTGCCGTGAAGGCAGGAGACTGGATCTGATGACCTCTCGAGGTCCCTTCCAGTTCAAGTGTTCTGTGATTCTGATTCTATGGTCCACCCGTACCCATTCTTTCCGTACCTGCCTTACTCCATGCACCGACGCTGCTTTCTCTTTCCACCCAACCCGATTCTCTGAGCTGCCATGCCAGAGCTGAACTGAGTGATGCCCGTGTAAATGTCAAGCAATATCCATTACCCGGGGGGGGGGACTTCATCGCCTCCTACTGGCCCAGCACAGTCAGCGAGATCGTCATCATGACGTTTTAGCAGCACTCTCTGGGTCAATGTGTCAGGGAGCTAGAAACCCTGATAGGTATGGCCCATGTGTCCGAATCCAGATTCCCCAGATGCCAAATCACCTCTGTTTTCCTTGCAGTTACTCCATCAGTAACACTAATTGGGTGCTTTTGGTTCAACCAAGCCCCTTCTCTGTCCCCACTCCCACCTAGGCTGTGTCCAGACTCAGGGTTTTTTTCGGGAAAAGTAGCCTTTTCCCGAAAAAACTTCCCCTGCGTCCAGACTCAAGCCGCGTTCTTTCGAAATTAATTCGAAAGAACGCGGCTTTTCTTTCGATGGCGGTAAACCTCAATTTACGAGGAAGAACGCCTTCTTTCGAAAGTTCCTCTTTCGAAAGAAGGCGTTCTTCAATGTAAATAGGGCGTCTTCGAAAGAGAGCATCCAGACTCACTGGATGCTTTCTTTCGAAAAAGCAAGCCGCTTTTTCGAAATTTCTCCGTGCAGTCTAGACTCTCTCTTTCGAAAGAGACTCTTTCGAAAGATGCTTTCGAAAGAGCCTCTTTCGAAAGAAGCCTGCAGTCTAGACATAGCCCTAGTAGCAACCAAGAGGAAAACGGGAGGGAAAATCGACCAATTTCCCCTCACCATTGGTGTTACCTTCTGTTCAGCTCTGATGTGTATTCTGATTTTTTTCTCCGGGTAGGAGAAGTAATAAGCATCTGTACCTTGATATGGAAAATCTGGAAGTGTATCTGCCATTGGACGTGGGGGAGAACTCATAACTTTCTGTACAATTGTAAGTAAAAATGCATATGGGTGGCACTTCTCACATCTGGATGTTACATCCCTGGTGGGAACAGTCCTGTTTTTCACGGGTCTGCTTTGACAGGGACTAGGTTAAAGAGAAAGGAATGAGGAAAAGGCAGCTTTGTGGTACAGGGGGTAGCAGAGGCCAGGAAATATGAAACGGGGCAGCTATCCAGGAAAAGGGACACTAGGGGCAGCGGAGAGTGAGGGGTGGGAATGGTTTGCTGTACCATAGCCCCCAAAGAGCTTTAAAAATGGTCCAACACAAGAATGAATGGTCACCAAATGAAATTAATAGGTAGCAGGTTTGAAGCAAAGAAAAGGAGGATGGGGAAGCACTGGGATGGGTTCCCTAGGGAGGGGGTGGGGTCTCCATCCCTAAAGGTGTTAAAGTTCCAGCTTGACCAAATCCTGGCTGGGATGACTGAGTTGGGTTGGTCCTGCTTTGGGCTGGACTCGATGACTCCTGAGGTCTCTGCCAGCCCTGGGATTCTGTGCTTCTTAACAAGACAGCTGGGATTCTCCTAGAACAGAAACTTACCAAACGCTGGTTGAATTAGGTGCAGAAGCTAATTTTTCAACATTAAAGGTGATTTTCCCCCCAAAGACTGTAAGTGTAATGAATTGGTTTCTGAAGAGGTATCTGTATCTGAGGTTAGACATTTACCCCCTGTTTTTAAAGGTAGTTAAGCAGTGCTGTAAAGCCAAGTTGATTGAGGACTCTGAACTGTGAGATGGCTCCAGCACATCTAAATCCCTTTTGAAAAATGAGATGTAGGCTCCTAAACCAGTTAGGCACATTGCACAGCAGTGTTCAATAGCTGTGACCCTCTGGGCTCTAGGCACTGTGGAACCGCCCACTGGGCATCACCTTTGCAAGTCTGGCCTCTGGTGGTAATGACAAAAAAAAAACTTAGGCTCTTAACTCCCATTATTTGCAAATATAATTTGATGCCTGCCAGTGACCAGGAAGGGGGTGGTCATGCCTTGTGGTTAGAGCAGGAGTCAGGCCTATGGTTCCAGTAGGAATCAGTAGCCAGGAAGTGGTGCTGACATTGGAAGTCAGGGACCAGGATGAAACAGGAGCTCTCATGGCCAGTGGCGAATGTTTTGAGCACCTGGTCATAAAAGCAGGTCTGCATATCCTGGCAGCCAGGCTGGTGGTGGGTAATCATCTGTCTCAGATGGGGCCTGCTGTTACTCGTTAGCCTGCCAGAGGATTCAGCTATCGAGTAAGCAAGCTAGCTGCCAGTCCTTAGTGCTGCCAGTCCCTCACCTGCTTAGGTGCCTCAAGAAAATCCAATTCAGGCCATATCTGCCCTACATGGAAGATCGACATTGCTATGGTTAATCTTCCAGGGTTTGATTTAGCAGGTCTAGAGAAGACCTGCTCAATCAAACTCAGAGGGTGCCCCCATTAGCACTAGTAGTCCTGCTTCTCATGACTGACCTCCTGGTAACCTCTTGCTGTGTGGATGGGGTGGAAATGCCTCTTAAGATACATCGACTCCATCTCTGTCATTTACGGAGCTGGAGTTGCGTATCTTAAGTTGACTTTCCGCTGTCATGTGGACCTGGCCTAGGAGTGTATCTGCTATCTGAGCAGCCTTTGAAAATTCTCATGGCTTTCAGATGGATTTGGGCCCCTCACTCAATGGGACCCCTGGGAAAGATAACAGCCTAAACCAATCCTTGGATGCCTTTTGGGCAGGTGACACCATTGCCCAAACCAGTGACTTGGCCAAGCACAAGTTCCTCAACTTGATCGACGCCGGCCTTGCTATCAATTCTGCCTACCCTCTGATGCTGCTCCCAGCGAGGCGAGTGACTCTAATCCTCTCCTTCGACTTTAGCTCTGGGGATCCCTTCAAGGTAACTTCTCTTATGTATTGGGATGTTGCTCAAAGCCCCTGTTGGGATCGGGCACTGCCCAAACACCCGGCACTTGGCCTAAGACACTATTGTTTACACCCTCAATCTGGATTCCCTGATGGTGCTGTTTGAGACAGATGATGGTAGGAAATCCACTGGAACTAATGACATGTTGAACCTCTCTGGTCCTGCAACATCCATGTTCCGTGGTTAGTTAGCCGGATGTCCACTGATCACGGGTGTGCCCAAGTTTCCCACAGTCCCATAAAGTTTGTTTACAGACTCCAGCCCTAGATGTCAGTGTTGTGTGCTGTTGTTTAGCTTTAAATCACCCTTAAATGTCTTTGAAGAGCCCACTGAGCAGTAGAAGTGTTGATAGACAACATTGACCTTCCATGGTTTGGCAAATTCTCTGGTTTATCATTGTTTGGGTCCCAAGGGGGCCAGATTACAGCGGGTGAACCTGGAATATACTCTGTGCAAGGTCACTTCTATTGGGATTAGGGGTATGTGACTGATGATGAACTTTTCTTAGGCTACGTGTATTTTTAATTTCCCAATGTATCATATTGGTGTCATTGTATTTAGTTAGTGGGTGGAGTGACCTTTTTTCATTCCTTTATTTTTAAATCACATTTCTCTTCTTCCCAGACCATCAGAAAAACAGCCAAGTACTGTGAGACCAATCACATCCCATTTCCTAAGATAGATCCAGAAGAGATTAAGGACCGAGATAACCCCTCTGACTGCTACATCTTCAAAGGAAAGGATCTGCCCACGGTCATGCACTTCCCGCTCTTCAACAAGAAGAATTGTCCCGGTAACTGAATTGTGCACTACTCTTCTAAAACTCTGTGGGCCAGATTCCCAAAGGGTATGTCTACACAGCGCAGCTATTTGGGGATGCCAGACGTCTCCCAAAATAGCAACCCCATGTCTTAACGAGCCACCTGTTATTTCGAAATATTTTTTGAAATACCGACCGTGCTATTTTGGCATCCCTGTAACCTTTGTTCCATGAGGGTTAAGGGGTGACTCAAAACAGTGCATTATTTCAAAATTTGGTGCAGTATAGGCATGCCAAATTCCAGAATAACCTATTCTGAAATACAATTGAAATAAGATACGCAATTTGCATAGCACAAATTTTGTGTCTTATTTCAAGTGTAGGGTGCTGTGTAGACACACCCAAAGGACTTAAGTGGCTACAATGTCAAGAATTATGCTGGGAATTGCAAAATCCCCGTTCCACTGTGTCCAGGCTCTGTGGTCAACTAAAGCTGTTCCATGCCAATGTTTTTGTAGCAAATGCTCCCATCAGCTTCCTTTACTCCTTGTAAGGAGCAGGAGAACCGACACCAATGAAGGCAACCTCTGAGTTTGACTTAGTGGGTCTTCACTAGATCTGCTAAATCAAACCCTGGAAGATCGACCACGGCATTGTTGATCTTCCTGGTGCCTGCATTTCTGTCTTTGGTAGGCCTGCCAATGGCTGGGAGAAGCAGTTGCCCCAAGTCCTAGTAATTTAGAGGGACCCGGACCCTTCAAATTACCACAGGAGCACCACGTCGGCTGCTCCAAATGGCTCTCAGGGTTGGGGGAAAAACTGTGCTCTGGAGGGCTGACCTCACCCCTTCCACCTGAGGCTCCACCCCTTTCCCGAGGAAGCGCGGCGGCTGTTGGCCCCCCGTTCTCTGAACATGTCTGCTGTATCCCAGGAGTCCAGATTGCACAAATGTGTGGGCAGAGGAGACCTTTACTCATAGCTAATAGTTTAAGGGTGAGAGCCACTATGGAGGATGTGGTAATCCCTGCATCAAGCCCCCCTCTGCCTGAGAAGGGATTTGATCCCCTCCTAGTTATGCCAGTGCCCTATCACTGATCCATGAGCTATTCAGATGTAAGTCTGACTCAACCTCCCCTCTGGAAGCTTTTCCACACTAGAGTAATAACTGCAGGGTCACCATAGACTTCTGTAATGGACAGACTAAGGAGTCTCTGTCCTCGCAGCTGCGAGCAGGCATCTCCCTCCAGCCTGGACTGTGGGTAGAAAATTACCTCAGCCTTCTCCCATGCGCTAGCCTCAGGCCCTGGCGTTTGTGGATCGTTTTCTGAGGAGCCCGACTCTCTTTGTTTATAGCACAGGGAGGGTGGACACCTAACGGCCTTTGGTAATCCCAGGGGGTCTAAATTATTTACCGGGACTCTTATAATGACACCAAAGTTTTGCTGCAAGTCAAGCCCAGCGATGGGCCACCTAGGTCAATGAGTTGGAATACAAGCAGACCTCCTTCCTCTCAGTGGGCTGCAAGATCCCTCTCCTGCGCTTGCTAAGGTTTGTTCACTGCACTTCTGTGCCTAGAATGTGCGGGGTGTGTCAACATAGTTCAGAGGGAGCACTCGGCTCTCACAGTCAATGCTGTGTGCAACCCATACGTCCCACATCTACCCTGATGGGCTGAGTGCGACCCTGGGGCCTCACTCATCTAGCCCCATGTGTCTGGTATATTTTGAGGTTAAAAAAAATAGGAAAAACTTTCTAACTCTAAAATTAGTTATGCTCTGGAGTAGACGGCCAAGGGATGTAGGGGGATCCCCCTGAGAAGATTTTTAGGAACAGCTTGGACAAACTCCTGTCAGGGATGGCCTAGGGCAGGACTACTCAACATGAGGCCGCAGGTTGCATGCGGCCCGCAGCCCGTTGGTTTGCAGCCCGCGCTGCGGTTTGAGTTTATGCGGGGCTCAACACGTGGCCTGCAGGTAGGATCCTTTGAACATGGCCTCCACTGGGAACACACTCCACAACGATGAGGAATCTCCCAGGCGGGGTGAGAATTGAAAGACCCAAGGGGGTGGACTGGCTGTAACAGATGGGTAGAGTCTGTCAGCGTTTCTAGCCCCCAGGGACACGGTGCCGGGAGTACCAGGGTATTGTGGGAAGTGCTTTGTAGTCATGTGCGAAAGAAGTGATTTGCATATATTTGCATATGTATTTGCATGTATATGCAATCACACTTAAGTTGTGGCCCTCGGCATGTGCTGTAAGTATCATTGTGACCCTGGGGCTTTCAAAGTTGAGTAGCCCTAGCGTAGGATCACTTTTGAGATCCCTTTGCAGCCCAACAAGAGTTAGCCTTGTTGTTCTCCTGCCTCTTTAAGTTCCTAGATGCCATGATTCTGGGAACAATCAAAGTGTAAAAGCGAAACCCCCTGCTTTCCTTCCTTGGGGACTAACCCACCTCTCTTATTCCTAGGGGAGGTGGAGCATTTCAGAAAACGGTTCTCCACCTTTACAGTCTCCTATACAAAGGGCGATGTCCAGGAACTCCTTAAGACAGCGAAAATGAACGTCGCCAACAACCACGAGAGGATAGTGAAGGAGATCCAGCAGCTCACGTCCTCCTAGACCACCCAGGGGATTTAAAACCGTGTCTATGGCTCATGTTCAGGAAGGGCAGAAAATCTGGCTTCGCCCTTCACAATTCCTGGGAGGCTACTCAGGCTGTGTCTCCGCTGTGTTCTTTTTCCAGAAAAAGATACGCAATTTGTGAACTGCGATTTGCATAGTTTTTACCTTTTTTTTTTTGAAGAGGCTTTTCCCACATTTGGCCTGTGTACATGGGGCCAAATGTGGGAAAAACCTCTTTTGGAAGATTCCTTATTCCTCATAAAATGCAGTGCGCCCACTTTTTTGGAAACTGTGCAGATGCGTTCCCTGGATGCGGCAGAGTTTTTCCGGATCCCAGAAAAACTCTGTAGTGTCGACATAATCCCTCTGTAACCATTAAGAACCTAAGGCAGGGAGGAGTTAATTAGTCCAATTTACATTCCAAAAGGGATTTAGGCACCTATCTGCCCCTCTGCAGCTTGGGTTTCATTAAACTCTTGCTCAGTTTCTGTGGATCCCTGTAACACTTCTACTCCTTATCTCCCAGAGAGATTCCCAGCCTCGGAAAGACAGGCCTCTTCCTCACTTGGGCTGTGTCCAGACTCAGGGGTTTTTTCGGTAAAAGTAGTCTTTTCCCGAAAAAACTTCCCCTGCGTCCAGACTCAAGAAATTAATTCGAAAGAACGCGGCTTTTCTTTCGATGGCGGTAAACCTCAATTTACGAGGAAGAACGCCTTCTTTCGAAAGTTCCTCTTTCGAAAGAAGGCGTTCTTCAATGTAAATAGGGCGTCTTCGAAAGAGAGCATCCAGACTCGCTGGGTGCTCTCTTTCGAAAAAGCGGATTGCTCTTTCGAAAGATCCGAAGAGGCTTGCAGTCTAGACATAGCCTTGTAGGGCCTGAGTCATGGGGTAAGAAGGAGGATGCTGGACTCCTCGAGCTCTGCTAGTCCAGGAATTAGTGTACTCACCTGGAACAGAGAAGACTTCAGGTCAAGTTGCAATGAGGGAGGTCTAGGTTAATGGAGATTGCCTATCTTCTACAACTGGAAGGGACCTTGAAGATCATTGAGTCCAGTCCTCTGCCTTCACAGCAGGACCAAGTACCATCCCTGACAAACTTTTGCCCCAAAACAGCCTCCACAAGGATTAAACTTACAACCCTGAGTTTAGGAGACCAATGCTCAAACCACCGAGCTATCCCTCCCCCAGGGTTGGTCCTGCTTTGGGCAGGGGGCTGGACTCGATGACTCCTGAGGTCTCTGCCATCCCTAGGACTCTAGGACTACATCTACACTACCCAGTCTTGTCTTCAACCCCCCTGTTGAAGCTGCTCCACTGTGGATTGTAGAGCCTGAAACTCTTTCGGCTCCCCTCGGCCCAAACAGCTACGCTGGTGTTTTTAGCCCTGCAGCTGAAGCCCCACAAGCCCAGCTGATCTGGGACAGCCAAGGCCATGCTGTGCCTCCTTTTCTACAATGGGCATGCACCCTGTGGCATCTCAAGCTTGGCTGTGGGTTCCACTGTCAAGAAGGGCACTAGAAACGAGGTGTAGCAATACCTCAGCCTTTTCACAGAGCCATCCCATAGCCATTATTCTGCCTGCTGGCTTTGTTTTACTCAGTGGAATTCACCACCATTGTATCTGCCCACCATCCACATGGAAAACAGAGCTCGGTTTGATTCCGAACACACAGATTCTGGTTCTGATTGATCTGGCAGAGGCATTTCGACCCAGGGTTTAACACCAATTCTCAAAGGAATCTTACACCTGGGAGTTGGGGGGCTAAGCCTGTCACATAAAAACTAATATGTGGGGCCTGCAGCTTAGCAAGCTGGAATGGAAGTTTCCATCCTTAGAGTACATAGCCTGGGACCCTGTAAGCGCATACAGCAGCTGGCCCTCATCAGCTTTAACCCATGCATGGGAAACTACTAAGCAGTAAACAAGTTTGACCTTGGTCTCAGCTCATAAGAGTGGTAAGAATGGTGTAGAGCCAGTACGTGTTCACTCGGTAAACAACTGTCATATAACTAGTGTAGGGAGTCCTGTGACTGGTGAGTCTCACCAGGGACCTAGACCTTGGAGGGTGCCCTGGCTTCCCTCATCTGGAGCCATGTCCACTGCGGCCTGGTGCGAAGTGACAGGAACAAGACTCCCTGCAGACTGAAGCGTCAGAAGCATTTCTAAGTGCCTGTTACTCTTTTATGTATTGCTCTGCCTGTGCTTATTGATGTGTCACTCTGCAGTAACTGTATAACCATTTGGCAGTATTAACCCAGTGATGTATGGAGATTAATAAAAGCATCTATTCCTAATCAACTCCGCGTTGAAGCAAATTCATAATCCTGTTTGGCCATGGTCCTGTGAGTTGACAATTGGCATCACAAACAGGATTTGCTGTGTGCGAGAAGAGGGATAGCAGGTAATGTGGAGTAAACAGGGAGCGGGGGTTGTTTTGCCAGTTGGGATAAAGGGATGGCCAGCTACCTCTCAGTGGGAATCCTGTTGCAAGGGCACTGTGCCGGGTAGCTCCCCCCATAGGGTGGGATAAGGGGCAGCTCCTGCAGTCACCACAAAGGATTATGGGACACAGGAAGGCGGCAGTAACCACCTGTTCAGCCAGCAAATCCTATAGGGATTGGGGCTAAGGATGGCTGTTCCTCAGCCTCTTGGAAGCTGTTGTAGTGAAGATGCTAAGAGGAAAAGTATTATTGGAAAAGAATTCTTGGTTTCTTTGCAGCCTTTTGAGGAAAAAAAATTGGCCCTCTGAGTTGACAAAGCCCATCTCTAACAACTGGAGAGCAGGATGAGACCTGTGGTGGGGAGCAGATTATTCTACAGTTGTTAGTGTGGTATCCTCACTGATCGGCTTACTCAAAACAAAGTGGAGCAGACACGAATAAATGCACAACGGCGGCCAGGCCTGGCAGAGATTGGCCTGGGCAGGAGAGAACTTTTCTTTTCGACTCTAGAGTCTATAATTCTCCGCCAATGATGGTGGGTCATAGCAAGACATTCCCTCCCCCTCTGTCTCAGTTCCCCCATTGGTTACATGGTGATATTAAGAAGCAATGGGCTAAAATGTCAGCAAGGGAGGTTTAGGTTGGACATTCAGAAAAACTTCCCAACTGTCAGGGAGGTGAAACACTGGAACAAATTGCCTGGGGAGGTTGGGGTGATATCCCTGGAGATATTTAGGAGCAGGTTGGACAGACATCTGTCAGGGATGGTCTAGATGGTGCTTGGTTCTGCCGTAAGGGCAGGGGACCGGACTCGATGACCTCTCCAGGTCCCTTCCGGTTCTAGTGTTCCATGATTCTAAGATTCAGAGATAAACTATTAGGATGCATATGAATATGAATAAAAGTGTGAGAAGCACCAAGCTGTGAAACTGCCTTGCTTGGAAACCAGTTCCCAGACAACGTTCTCATTACCACAGCAAGATTTTTCAGCCCAGCACATAAGAAGATTAACAAAAAAATTCAATTTACTATTTACGTGAAAAACAGGATTTTTTTATTGAAAGCAAAATGCCTACAGGAGATCAGATATCAGTCTGGAAATATGTGAAGGGCTGTTCTAAGGTAGAATTGTTCTCCATGGTCACTGGAGGTAGCACAAGAAGCACGAGCTTGCTTTGCAGCAAGGGAAATGCAGGTGAGACATCTGGAAAGACATTTCAGTCCCTAAGGGTCGTTCAACATAGGGGCAATAACTGGAGGAAGCTGCAAGGTCCCTATCCCGTCACGATTTTAAAACAGGCTGAACAAACACCTGTCGGCGTTGGCTCCATCACGGCACTGGGGGACAGTGTGGGTGCCCTCTCAGGGCCCTTTGAAGCCTGGCATGTCTGGCTCAATCTAAGGTTTAACACCCATTCTCGAAGGGATCTCAGTCCAGAGACCTGGGTCCCCCTGACGTGATGAGTAGATTGCCAGGACCTCACTTGGGCCATGTTCTCATCCTGCAATGACAGAGTGTGGGCACATCCTCAGAGAATCATAGAAATGTAGGGATGGGAGAGATCTCTGTCACTGAAGTCCAGCCCCTGAGGCTGAGAGGATGGAGAAACATAAACCCGTCCTGAGAGGCGTTGGTCTAACCTAAAAAGCCTCTGAAGATCCAGATTCCACAGCCTCCCTTGATCATCGGTGGCAGGGCTGAACTTCCCTTGGAGTCACACAGCTTTTCTGGATCTCTAACCATGGTGCTCTCTGAATCGATTCTTTCTGGTTCTAGCATCTGTTCCCTCTTTGTATCTTTTCAGGAGACGGTGGTGTCTCCTGGGGCTATGTCAACCCGGCAGGGAAAAGTCGGAAAAAGATATGCAAATTGTGAGCCACAATTTGTGTGTCTTTTTCCACTTTTCTTCTGAAAGAGGCTTTTCTGACATTTGGCCTTTCCACACAGGGCCAAACGTCAGAGAAAACTCTCTTTTGGAACATCCCTTCTTCCTCGTAGAACTAGGTTTACAGGGATGCCGAAAAAAACACGTCTACTTTTCTGATTTTTTTTTCTGAAAAGCAGACATGTTCTTTGCATGCGGCAGAGCTTTTCTGGGATACTGGAGGTATCCCATAAAAGCTTTGCAGTGTAGCCATAGCCTGGGACCCCAACTCCGAGGGCGTTTTCCATTGGCTGACTCTGGGCAGTTACTACTATATTTGCAACATTGATGGCAGGAACACCCGTCCTGAGGTGACCCACCTGTGGGATTGCAAGGTCCTGGTGTGTCTATCGAGGACCTCATCCTGCTACCCCAAAGCAGATGAATAACCCCTTCCTATGTGAGCAATCATGGCTCCATCAGTGTTGCGGGTCAGGTCTGATGGGCTGGGCTCTAAAAGTGAAGCATTGTGGACTTGGTCCAGAATTTCCCAATTAGACATTGCATCTACCCTCCTTCGGCAGGGAAAATAAACTAGATTGATTTGATTCTGCACACAAAAGATCTGGATCTGATTGATCTGAGAGAGACATTTTTGTTCATCCTCTGAGATGAGAAGCTCACACTTCCAAGTCTCCAACATGAGCTAAGGGTCTATACAGCATCTGAGCACTAGACTCTACATCAGCTGCCCGCCATTTTTATTTTGTCTCCCAAAAATTACTGAATCCTGGAAAAACCTGCACATTTCCTGACAAGTTTTCTCAGAGCCCCTTTCACCTCTGTGTTTCTCAGGCTGTAGATGAGCGGATTGGCCAGAGGAGTCAGAAACGTGTAGCAGATGGAGAACACTTTGTCGAGGTCTCTGAGCATGTTGGATTTTGGCAGCAGATACACAACCATCAGGATGCCGTAGAAAATGGTCACCACAGTGAGGTGGGAGGAGCAGGTGGAAAAGGCCTTTTGCCGCCCAGTGGTGGACGGGATCCGCAGGACAGTGGAGATGATGCAGACGTAAGACGTCACTGTTAACACAAACGGGGGCAGAGTCAATAGAGCGGTTACTATGTTAATGACAAGATCCAAGTGGTACATGTCCTTGCAGAAGTGATTGATTAGTTGTGTAGCTTCACAGAAGAAATGATCGATTTCATCGGGGCCACAGAACGTTAATTGTGACATAAGAGAAACGATTATGGTAACGGCTAGAATCCCATTTATCCAAGACCCGGCTGCCAGCTGGAGGCAGAAATCGCCGCACATACGTGTAGCATAATGCAGGGGCTTGCATATGGCTAGATAACGGTCGTAGGACATCACGGCTAGAAGATAGCACTCGGTGGCTACAAAGAAGCCACTAAAGAAAAATTGTGTGATGCAGCCATCAACTGAAATGGTCCTGTCCCCCATCAGTAGCCCGGCCAGCAGCCGGGGCAAGATGCTGGAGCTATAGCAGATCTCCAAGCAGGACAAGTTCCCCAGGAAGAAGTACATGGGGGTGTGAAGGTGCCAATCGGCCACCACCAGCACAACGATGAGGAGGTTCCCAGCCATGGTCACAAGGTAGATCACTAGGAACAGCAGGAAGAGGAGGGGCTGCAGTTTGGGGAGGGTCCCGAATCCCAGGAGGATGAACTGGGTGAGGGAAGTTTGGTTTTCCTGCCTCGTGTCTGCCATGGGGAAAACGAAACCCACTCTGCAATGGAACAGGCATGGCCTTTGTTAAACGCAACATCACATTCCCCTTTTCATGGTCACAATATCACATTATCCCTCTCCTCCATGTGCCACGGAGGTCTCCTACTTTGTATGCTGCCTTGTGATCACTGAATATGAGCATCCAGATTTCTCTGCCAAAGGACATTGTGAATTATATAAGAATGGCCAGACGGGGTCAGACCAAAGATCCATCCAGCCCCGTATCCTGTCTGCCCACGGTGATCAATGCCAGCTACCCCAGAGGGAGTGAACAGAACAGGGACCAGTGATCCCTCCCCTATCACCCATTCCCAGCCTCTGACAAACAGAAGCTAAGGACATCATCCCCGCCCATCCTGCTTAGTCACACTCTGAAAATGGAACGATCAAAATCTCTACTGACATTTATGCTAGTAAACCCGAACGTTCCCAAGAGCTATAAAGTAACAGGGCTCTGAAAATATTCCCCTTCATCACATCTGAAGTATTTAATTTACTTATTCCCACGTTCTGCTTTAGTTTTCATTTCTCACTCTGAATTTTGAACAATTTACTGCGCGGTAAATGGAAAAAAAGCAAAGTCTTTTGCTTCACGATTCAGTAATTTTTTTTAAAGACCCCGACAATTTCTTTTTAAAGTTACTTTATGGCAAGTAAAAAGGATAGGACCATTGGGGGAAATGAAACTATTATTTTTATGGCATGCAGTGGAAAACAGGGACAGAAATCATGGTAAGTTTGAAAAAATGTAAACTGATAAATGGAAATAACTTTAAATGACTAGTGATAGAAATGAGGAAGTGGGTCTGGCCCACAAAAGCTCATCATCTAATAAACCATCTTGTTAGTCTTTAAAGTGCTACATTGTCCTGCATTTTGCTTTAAATGACTGCATTTTCCACCACTTCTAAGGACAAGTAAGCAGGGAGAGAAATCAGCCTCAAATTTTGGGAAAGTATACATAGAAATGAGTTGACATGATTAAAACAGCAAATCCAGAAGTGAAGGGAGGAAATAAATACAGGCCGTCTTTGCTGTACGTCCAAGATGCATTCCAGAAAACTTGGCCTTACAGCAAAACAACTTAAAGCAGAGAGTTTTTTCCCATGGCTGACTTCCATTTGCACAAATTGGGTTGTTGGGCATTTTTTTAACATGACTTAAGTGGGGGAATGGGAGGACTTATAATGCATCATTTCCGAGAAGTGTCAATGGCTTTAGTGTGGAATGGATGGATACCGGGGCAACTTCTAGCAGGGATGCCCTGCAAGGGGAAAAGTAAGACGGATATTAGAGGCTCCATCCTGGCACTGGGGGTTGGGGTCAACACCCTCTCAGGGTCCCTTAGGGTATGTCTACACAACAAAGTTATTTTGAAATAACAGCCGTTATTTCAAAATAACTTTCCTAGCGTCTACACAAAAATTAATTTGAAATAGCGGAAGGCTTATTTCAAAATTGGTAAACCTCATTCCACGAGGAATAGTGTCAACTTTGAAATTGCTATTTTGAAATAAGCATTGTGTAGACACTTATTTCGAAATAAGGGGCCTCCAGCCCTTCCCAGGGTGCCGTGCTAGCCACCCTAGCCACAAGGTAACTTCTGACCTGAAGCCTTGATTGAATCAGTTCTGGTTGGCCTTAAATGTGATTCAGCGTCCAATCAATGTTGACGCACCATTTTGAAAGAGCAAAGAGCTCTTTCAAAATGCATTTTGTGTGTAGATGCATTATTTTGAAATAAGATATTTCAAAATAACTCTTTCGAAATAACACTGTAGTGTAGACATACTCTGAGATCCTGGCATGTCTGATTCTATCCTGGGTTTAACGCCAGTTCTTGAATGCGTCCTACACCTGGGAGTTGGGGGGCTAAGTTCATCTCTAACAAGTGGAGATCAGGACTCAACTGGAGTACTGTGTCCAGAAATTGCAGAAGGTCCAGAGAAGAATAACAAAAATGCTGAAAGTCTAGAAAACATGAGCTAGGAGGGAAGACCGAAAGCATTGGGCTTGTTTAGTTTAGAAAAGAGAGACTTAGAGAGGGCATGATAGCAGGTTCTGAGTATCTAAAATGGTTTTGCAAGTAGGAGGGAGAAAAATTGTTCTCTTTGGCCTCTGAGAATAGAGCAAGAAACAATGGGCTTAAATTGCAGCAAGGGAGGTTTAGGTTGGACATTAGGAAAAACTTCCCAACTGTCAGGGTGGTGAAACACTGGAATAAATTTCCAGGGGAGGTTGTGGAACCTCCATCACTGGAGAGATTTAGGAGCAGGTTGGACAGACACCTGTCAGGGATGGTCTAGATGGTGCCGGGTCCTGCCATGAGAGCAGGGGACTGGACTTGATGACCTCTCAAGGTCCCTTCTGGTTCTAGTGTCCTATAATTCTAAGATTAAAAGATAAAATAGTAGGATTCATATGAATATGAATAAACGTGTGAGAAGCATCAAGCTGTGAAAGTGCTTTGATTGAAACCAGTTCACAGACATGAGCATCCCTCATTTCCACAGGAAGATATTTCAGCCAAGCACATAAGAAGATTAAAGAAAAAATTCAATTTACTATTTACATGAAAAAAGAGGATTTTTCATTGAAAAAAATCCCTACAGGAGATCGGATACCAGTCTGGAAATATGTGAAGGGCTGTTCTAAGACTCCATGGTCACTGGAGGCAGGACAAGACGTAGGAGCTTGCTTTGCAGCAACGGAAATGCAGATGAGACTTCTGGAAAAACATTTCAGTCCCTAAGGATCGTTCAACACCGGGGAAAGTGACTGCAGGAAGCTCCGAGGTCCCCGTCCCGTCACGATTTTAAAACAGGCTGGACAAACCGCTGTCAGCGTTGGCTCCATTGCAGCACTGGGGGATGGGGTGGATGCCTCTCAGGGACCCTTACAACCTGGTGTGTCTGATTCTACCCAGTGTTTAACACCAGTTCTTGAAGGGATCTTACACCAGGGAGTGAGGGGGCTAAGAGCATCTCTAAGAATTGGAGACCAGGATGAGACCTGCTGGGTGGGGAGCAGATTATACTAAGAGCAGGTTAGATATATGTCTATCGGGGTGGCCTAGACAGTACTGGGTACTGCCATGAGGGCAGGGGACTGGACTCGATGACCATTCGAGGTCCCTTCCAGTTCTCATATTCTGTGATTCTATGATTCTACGGTCATTAGTGTCGTAACCTCACTGATCGGGTTATTTCAAAGCGAAGTGGAGGAGACATGAATAGATATGACTGGAGCAGGAGCGAACTTTTCCTTTCTTTGTCTCTAGAGTCAATAATTCTCTTCCAAATTCTGCCATAACAGTGGGCCACAGCGAGATATTCCCTCTCTCTGCCTCAGAGTCTCCTGTCAGTTACATGGCGATATTAACACGAACGGGGATCTAGAGGGGATGGTGAGACTGAATTTCCACCAATGGCACTGCCCTTTGTCAGGCAGCTGATGTTGGGTGAATGGAAAGTAAATAGGATAGAGACTAAACAATCATCACTCGTTAGCCTGGCTTTGAGTGCAAATAGGCCAACCAAACGAGCGAGCTAATGGAAGCATAAGGCTGGAAGGAAGGGAAAGGTCTAAGGAGCAGAGTCAAAGTGTGCAAAAAAGTATCCATGGCCAAGAGTAAGCTTGTGCGGCCATTCAAGAGAGAGTCAGATGCTGCCCAGATGATTAGCAGAGCGCTCTGAGCTCCATTTTTGGTTTGTACCAGTGGTGCACATTTGCACATGGTTTAGTGCACAGAAAATTATTCTGCACTTGGGTGGGAAAAAATGCACTCATGGCTGGAAAAGATTAGAGGGAACATTGCTCCTGACCCCTCCCACTGGTAACAAAAGCCATCACCCTCTGCTCCAAGACCCCCCAAAATGATTATTAAGAGCTGTTACCAGCACTAATTAAGCTTGCTAAGAAAATAGAAGGGAACGAGGGAGATGTGTTGTGAAGACGTAAGGCTGAGGAGAAGAAGGGGGCTCTATCGGGATCCCCCATGGTAGTTAGGGGAAGGGGAGAGGAAAACTATTGACGGATAGGGACCAGACCAGCTGGCGTGCAGGGCTTGGAATATACATGCTCGTGAAACCCAAATTTGCCCCTCAAATTTCCTGCAGATTGGACTGCTATGTTCCAGCTAAATGTGCTTGGGAAATGAGGGGGAAGAGGGAGCCGGATTCCTGCTAGTAGGTGATAGCCGCTGGAAAGGGGTAACACTCACCTTCACCCACGGTTCTTCAGCTGCCCATCCTAGCTTGGATTTCTTGGGGTTTGCTGACCAGGAGTCAGGTCTTTTCTTTCGTTTCTCCCCAGAAATTCTCTCAATCCAGAGCCCTGGGTCCCCCGACACGATGAGTAGATTGTCAAGACCTCGCTTGGGCCATGTTCTCCTCCTGCAGTGACGGGGATTCTCAGAGAATCATAGAAATGTAGGGCTGGGGGCAGGATGGTCACTGAAGTCCAGCCCCTGAGGCCGAGACAGGAGACACGTAAACCCGCCCTGAGAGGGGTAGGTCTAACCTGTTCTTTAACTTCTCTGACGATACGGGTTGGTCATCAGTGGCAGGGCTGAATGCCCCTTGGAGTTTCACAGCTTGTCCGTATCTCTAACCTTGGTGCTCTCTGACCTGACTCCTGTTGCTCCCAGCTTCTGTTCCCTATTTGTATCTTTTGCAGGAGACGTCCGTGTCTCCTGGGAAGCCGAGGGCGCATTCCATTGGCTACATCTGGGAAGTTCCTACTCTGTTTGTGACACTAATGGCAGAAACACCTGTCCTGAGGCAATCCACCTGTGGGATTGCACGCTCCTGCTGTGTCTAGCCGGGCCCTCATCCTGCTAACCCAAAGCAGGCAAATAATCCATTATAGCCAAGAAGGCTAATGCCATATTAGAGTGCATTAGGAGGAGCATTGCCAGCAGATCCAGAGATGTCATTATTCCACTTTATTCGGCTCCGGTGAGGTCACATCTAGAGTAC